CAATCGAGAGTATCTTAGGATACCAAGTGGAAGCTGCCCAGGATTTCACTGTACCAGGATCTATAACCGATGCCCACTGTAGCAACAGTCAAGAAGCCCAACAACACACGGCATCAGGCGAGCCTGCTGCCAAAGTCCTCCGTCGCCGTGGAAACAGATGAGATGTTGTGGTTGGAGGCTGTTCCCAGCCCAAGCCATTTTCTATGGCCGTGCATACACAGAACACAGGGAGCGCTGGGAGGACTTGCTGCATCTGAACGATGGTTGGGATGAGGGATCTCAAAATGACCATGACTGCAGGAAGAACAGGCAAATCTGTGCTGGACAAAGTCCAGTCAGATGCTCCTTGGAAGTACAATTTGGAATGATGTGATCTATGTATTAAACCCCAGCAAAAAATAATCCAGGGAGGATGGCAACGAGGCTTCGTCTTCATGGACTGTGAGCATGTCCAGAGATAGTCTCGGCCACCCAAAGGGGGCACTTCCACCCCATCCTACAGGGTCGCTGTGAGTCGGAACCCACTCAATGGCAGGGAGTCTGGTTGCTGGAATGTTCCTGGGAGCAGGCCACCTGGTCCTTCCTCTCAAAGCAAGGCTGGGTCCATTTGAACTGCCAAGGGTGGGACCATGGCTTCCAAGAACCGACAATCACAAAGCCCCAAGCGGTGGCTCCGACCTCAACTCCCATGCTGGCCCCGTCGGCCCAGACTGGCTTTGTTCTCTGCCGGGCATTTCCCCCCACGTCTCCACGGCCGCATCACACAATCACAGACGTCTCTCTGCTCCTTGCTGGAGATCTGGCAACATGTGCCCAGCCCTGCTCTCCCCCCTGGGAACTTCTCCTTCTCCGGCCCCGTCAGCCTACTCTCTGGAGACCCTCCCACCTGGCCTGTGCTGTTCTTTGGACTTCGATTACCTCCTTCTGGGCCTTCTCTGTCCGGGGCCATTCGGCTCAATCTTCACTATATTTTGTCAGAGCTTGCAGTACTGTTCCATTCCCGCCTACGTGACAGTTTTGTGATTGTTATCTCCTCTCTGAATAGCCTGTCCTTGGGACAGGCTGAGTTTAACCTTCAAGTCTACCTAGAAACAGATGAGGGGGATTCCATATGTGGTGTGACATTTTTTAGATAAGCACCTATATCCTGCTTCCCCTTGATTGGGCAGGAGATTGTCTTCACCCTATTTACACATCTAGTGCCTGCACCTGATTTGCATAAAATGACGTCACTTCGCATACCTGGTTGAAGACTGTAAACCGTTACTGAGGGCCAGCTCCCCCAGACTCCTTGATTGGTCTATTACCAAAGTGGCCTAGTTTACATGTGCGATGGGTGTTTCCTTCCCCTGGCCTATATAGGCTGCAACCTTTCACTCAATAAACGAGACTTGATCAGAATACTGTCTTGTCTCCATTTCTCGTGTCTCTTGTTCCCCTCAATTCCCACTCCCTCCTCCAGGGTCTGCGTTGACGGTCCTGCGGGTCGGGACACTTCTCTTCCAGCGCTGGCATTTCCCAGCCTCTAGCTTCTACCCTTTGCTCCAGGCCTGACTTCCCTCATGGCACTCGGTTGGCATCGCCCAGAGGTGCGACAGGGGCACAGGTAAGGGCTGAGCCACAGCCACAGGCGTCCTGCCTCTGCTCAGACTCTTGAGCTCCTTCCTCCCCCTGCGCCTTCACACTTGCCTGTGGGGAACACAAGGATTTCTCTTAAGCTGTCTCCCCAGGAATATGTACCAGACTTAGCGGCTTAAGCATGACTGTACAATAGGTGGTCAGCGAAAGTAGGTCAGAGGTTATTCTCCCTAACATCAGCCATCTAGTCTGACTCACCCTAAATAAGACCCACTCCCTTCTGATAAGGATAGTGGTGGTCTGTTTACTTGCAGGAGATACCAGAGAGGGCAAACCCGCCCAAGGATGACCAAGGTTAGGTAGCCATTATCAGCTGTCTAGATCAAGCAGACACCACTGTTTATCCCACAACAAATGTGGGCACACCCCTAGGTCATCCCCCTCCTATTGATTGTATTGCTTATGTTGCTACCCCTCCCTGTGACTTAGGTTATTGTCCGCTATCAGGAGACTTGCATGCCTCCCAGAATAGTAATTGTCTGTTTTATTATATGAGACACCAGAGCGATCAAACTTGTTCAAGAATGAAAAGTATTGCCCCTTTCTGTGATGTATGACTCTGTAATCATATCCCCCTAAAGTGATATGATGCGTGGTTAGCAATAAGGAGGCTTGCTGGTTCTCGGGAGGGTGGCTGGCCGAGGGTGGCTGGAGAAGGTGGCTAAGGAGGACAAAGCAGCGGCTTCTTCTCTGATGGCTGAGCACCCTCCAGGAGGACCATCAAGCAGGGCTGAGGTGAGCGATGCTACCATGAATTGCGTCTGACTCCATTACTTGACTCCATCCTTTAACTCTCATGCTCTCTCTGACTTTACTATAATCTCTACTTATTATTGCTGTACAATTGCGCCTACCGAACCTGTGATGTTTTGTGGGGTTCCCTCTTCCCTTTAACCCCACGCTTGCCCTTCTTGCTGCCTGCTGTGCTGCCCTGGGGTGTCTCCGGTCCATCCCATGCGATGGAGAAGAGCTTCGCTGGAGGATACTCGAGGGAGATCGTCAGTTCTTCCTCTGGGGAGCGCAGTGTGGCTTCAGCCACCAACCGTCCGGTTAGAAGATGCTCACTGGACCAGTGCGACACCAGGGCTCCTCCTGCCCACAGGACCTGCCCATCAACCTTTGCCTTCCTGGCTGGTCATTCAGGTGTTTGATCCGACAGCACGACCTCAGAAAGCCCACCTCTACTGTCCAAACAGGGCCCTCGGTCCCCACGTCGCCCCACGGCGGTCGTCATCCACCCCATGTGCAACGGAACGAACCACTGCGGGGCCCTGGCTCGTCCTCACCGCCGCTCTCCTGTGGAGCCATTGCTGCAGCCACGGTGCCAACACCCGGTCTAGGGCCTTCCTCGTCTTTTCATAAATCGTTTCATTGGGGGCCTCGCAGCTCTCATCACAATCCGCACATCCACGGTGTCAAGCACATTTGTACATATGCTGCCATTGTTAGTTTCAAAAGTTCCTTTCTACTGGAGTCAGTCCTTGGTATCAGCTCCTCCTTTTCCCATCCTTCCCCCACACTGCGACCCTTTGATAAATTGTTATTTTCATATCTTACACCGTCCTTTCACCCAAGTGTCTATTGTTTGTCCCCCTCAGTGGGGGGCGACACAGGGGTTTATACATTGATCATTGTGATCAATTCCCCCGTTCTCCCCCCACCGTCATGGTATCGCTACTCCCATTATAATTCCTGAGGGCTTTAGCTGTCCTGGATTCCATGTGTTGAGAGCTCTTATCTGTACCAGTGTACATGCTCTGGTCTAGCCGGATTTGTAAGACAGAACTGAGGTCATGATAGTGGGAGGGGGGGTGAGGACGGGTGGGGGGGGATGGAAGCATTAAAGAACTAGAGCAGCGGTTCTCAACCTGTGGGTCACGACCCCTTCAGGGGTCGCTCAATAACTAGCAAAATTACAGTTATGAAGTAGCAACAAAAATAATTTTATGGTTGGGGGTCACCACAACATGAGGAACTGTATGAAAGGGTCGCGGCAGGAGGAAAGTTGAGAACCGCTGCGCTAGAGGGATGGTGTGTTCCATCGGTGCTGTGCTGCACCCTAGCTGGCTCATCCCTTCCTTGTGACCCTTCTATGAGGGGATGTCCAGTTGTCTAAAGGTGGTCTTTGGATTTTTCACCACCCGTCCACTTTCCCGAGCTTGACGTCCTCTGTTCTTAAGCTTCTGCTAAAGGACTTCCAGTGTGTTAACCGTTCCACGGAAGTGAGTGTGACTGAGCCCTCAGCTGCTATGTGGATAACTAGCTGTAATAGTCCTTTATGCTTTGTCTATCGTTCTGTATCTATAGAAATCATAAGTGTCCTGGCTTTGCCTCTCGAGAGAACCCTCTCGAACAACACCTTTGTTCTAGAGAAGCCAGACTCACAATTTAGCTCACATATGAACTGTATGGGAACAGGGAGGGCTGCCTAGACCTTGTATCAAGGGGCTTCAGCATCTGCGGGCTTCCTCTAAAAAGGGGCGTGCTTGCGGTTCACTTCTCTCTCCCCAGTTTCCGGCACGCCGTCCTCCGGGTGTCCCCACTTCCATTTCCCAGTTGGCCTCCCCACCGGCAACAGGCTGCTGCCGGAACCCACCACTTGAGAGATCGGACACTTTGGCGACCTTCTTTTATCCGTGGTGAGGCTCACAGTGAGCCTCAGACAGTAAACGTGCTTAAGAAAACACAAGACCCAGAGGAGGTGCTCCGGGGTCGAAGGCACGAACCCCAACCGAGATGGGAGTGTGGTGTGGGATCGGACAGACAGACAGATGCTCTCCCGTCACAGGGCTGCTTGCTGGGTGGTAACACCGAGTGGCAGGAGTGGCCAATGTGGGACGAGGAGCCCGAGGCCGGCCCCACGCATGACGCTGAGTAAGCAACCCACCCCAGTTAGGATGGCCACAGTCAGCCGCAGGGAGCCTCCATTCAGCCAGTCAGAGGCCACCGAGCCCACCTTCCCCAAAGTGAACTCCTTACCCAGACGTGCCGATGCACCCTGGTCGCTGCTAAGCTGGAAAACCGACCAACACTGTCACCTTGCTTTAGAAATGAGTCAAATCTTAGTTTTAAAAAAACACACTGCCACCCAGTCCATTGATTCCATCTCACAGCAGCCGTTACATGGCAGCACAGAACTGTCCCTGGGGCTTCCAAGGTGGTCCTTGTCTTTATAACTGGATGGGCGCAGGCAGCCTCCGCTGAGCTTAGTGCCTCGCAGCAGCTGCTGGGTTCAAACCTCCCACCTTATGGTTTTATGGTTAGCAGTGTGGTGCATATATGTACCGGGAAGGACACACGTGTACTTTTAGTGGCGTGGTTTTAAAACCCTGGGCTTGGTTATTAAAGTATCACTAGCAAAGTGAATGAAAAGCACGTTTAATTAGCAACCAAACCCACTGCCATCGAAGACCCTGTCTCATGGCAACCCTCTAGGACAGGTGGAAACTGCCCCCACTGGCTTCCCAAAGCCGCCAGCTTCATGGGAGGCGCAGACAGCCATGTCTCTGTGCCTCGGAGCCTCGGGGGAGCTCAGAGCACCAGCCTTCAGGCTAGCAGATGAGCATTTGAACGCTGCACCCCCAGGGAGATGGAAATGGAACCCTATGCAAATGCTTTTACAGAACTGAACGGTGTGATCCTGAAACACACGCACGCACATGGAGATACACGGGATGCTTTTTACAAGTGGGCACTGCATGGGTGGAGGGTGGCTAACGTTTCGGCAGCTCCCCTATCCCAGGGGAAGTCCCTTCCTAAATCTGCCTGTGGGTTAAATTTGGACATGAGTTAGGACACTGAGGCACAGTTCTCGTATCTAAGGTCAGTAGATTAGCTGTTTGCTTGGGGTATAGCAGGCAGGGCACCTTTCTGTGCATTGAAAATGCGCCTGTGAGAGGGGAATGCCCAGGTCCAGTCAAGCATCTTCAACAGCACCCTGCAGCAGCGGGAGCTCTTGCTGTGGCCACGTCGGTTACCAGGATAGCTGCAGGCACCTCCCAGCACACGGCTGGCCTACAGGTGCAGGAGGTGCAGACGCTGGATGTCCGTCCTATCCTCTCGGGGCTGCCCGTGCTCAAGAGGTGGCGATCGGCGTGGTTTCCCTGTGCCACGTGCACGTCTCATTTGGAGAGAGCCCAGGGAATTGTCAGGTGAGCCTGGCGTCCATCCCACAAGGGTGAGAGCCTCGTGGGGAGCTCGGCGATTTATGAGGGAGGAGAGAGAGTTTCGCGGGTCACAGGTCACTTCCCGAGACGGGCCTGAATTGTGTGATCAGTGTCTCTGAAATCCCCAGGGTGCCATTTGTCACAGTGGTTGCACAAGGAGGCTGGAGGGGGGCGGGGCCTTGTGGGGAGAGACGGACACAGACGAGCCCCCAGAGCAGGGGTGGGGGCTCTTGTGGAGTAGCCCCCGTCCTCTGTGGACGGGGCACGGGGCCGCAGCAGCACAGACAAACCCACCAGCTGTGAGGGCAGGGGACTCGCTACCTAAGCGTGCATGATGCTTGAAGAGTGCTTTAGAGAGCAGCAGCGGCCCCACCGAGCCCCAGGAAGGAGCCGTCGGTCCTGCTAAGACCTGCAGAGGCACATGCTGCTGCGGCATCTCCAAGGTGCACCCGGGCAGGCCGGACCCCAGCAGCCGCACACACAGCAGAATCCTCACCACTAATGCGATGGATGTCTGGGCCCACGGTTTCAGCCACTGTGTCCGTCCACCTCCCCGAGGGCCTCCCTCTGTTTCATCACCCTCTACTTTACCAAACGAGGGGTCCTCTACAGAGACGGTGGCTCCCGATGACATGCCCGAAGCATGCAGAGTGATGCTGGGAGCATTCCAGCCGGGCTTCCTGAAGACAGATTTGTGAGTTCTCCCAGAGACCTGTGGCTGCCCAGTATTTCTGGCCAGCATCGAGAAGGCCAAAGGACACCCCCTTGCTCTTTCTCCATCAGGAGAGTGACACTCAGTCATGCCCGGATGAAACGTTGGTGAGAATGGACAGAGATGATGGAGAAGGGGGTTCTGGGACCAGTCAGTCGTTTTTTCCATCGACAGTCTCTAAAGCCCCCCCAGACCACCCAGCTTGAAGGTACACAGTTGCCGCAGCTGTGTTCTTGCCAGGACTGCTGGACCGACAGCAAGCGACCTGCCAGCTCAAAAGAGCAGCTCTGCTCGGGGCCACCGGGCAATTCCTGTCCTCCCTTCGATAAAAAGCAAGGAAGAGAAAATGCCACAGGCACTGCCCCCCCTGGTGCCAGAGGGTGTCCCTGCCCAGGGCACAGTGAGGGAGCCGGTCTGGTGCAGTCCACAGGATGAGGTGGGCCAGGTCCCTTGTCTGTCCCTTCCCAGTGCCCACCCTCAGATTCATAGCTCCTCCCGGGAGCGCGCCTTTGCCCGTGCCTCCTGCCCGGCTCGGTCCTGCTCTCCGGGGGCCAGCCAGGTGAGGAACACCTGCACAGGGTCGACGTTCCAGTGCTTGTGGAAGGAGATGGGGACCTGGTGAGCGAGGTAGGCCTTTGGGTAGTCCACCGGCCGGGCCTGTGGGGGGAGGGGGAGAAGACATGGTTACGGTCTGTGGGCTGTCCCCATGGAGGCCACAGCAAATGCCTTCCTTCAGGATCTGGTGCAGGTGACGGCAAGGGCAGACGACCTTGCCCTCACATGGACTCTCCAGCTCACAAAACACACACACACACACACACACACACACACACACACACACACACACACACACACACACACACACACACACACACACACACACACACGCGCACGGGCACCCGGTAGGTGCCACCCCATCTTGACCCTGTATGGGGTTCTTGAGGATGCAACTCTTTTACGGGAGCAGGCATCCTCATCTTTGCCCCTCGGAGTAGCTGGTGGGATTGAACTGCCAACTTGTGGCGAGCAGCCAGCCAACCACTTGCCCGGTGGCACCGTACGTGTGCGGGCAGGCGAGGAGCGGTGAAGAAAGTGCTAATCTGGGGCCCTGGGCTTGGATGCAGGAGGCCGAAGAAAAGAACCTTCATCGTGGGGGCTGGGAATGGGAGCGGGGCAGGGGTGGAGCTGGGAGTAGGGGGCACTGTCGTCAATTCCCACAGCAAAGGGTCCTAATAGGAATGTACTAGGGTAGATGTTAGCTTACGAGGGCCCCCCCCCCCCCCAAAGATGCTGCCACTCCTCTTACTACCAGCCCAATCGCGTCTTTCCTACCCACAGGCATGGGCTATTTTCCTTACAGTCTAATGCTCTGAATGCGCGCCGTCTTCTCTGGGTGGGTCATTGTCAGATGGCCATGGACCAGCCCGAGGAAAGGACTTTCTGTGACGTCATCCTGACACAAGCGTGTGGACGGGGAGCCCTCTCGAGGGCTTAGGAGGCAGGTAAGTGCCTCCCGACTGATCCTGAGAAACTGGCTTCACCTTTCTTGTGCTGTTGCTGACCACTAAGTCCCGAGTCACAGTGACGCCGTGGGTGCAGTGGACCTGCCCGTGGACTGTCCAGGCTGTCACCCTGAAGGGGGAAGGCCACCAGGCTTTCCCGTGTGGAGTAGCTGGGTGGAACCACACAGCCAACCTTGTGGTTAGCAGCCAGGTTTTTAACAACTGCACCCTACTGAGGACTGCTTCACAAGGTCGCTGGTTCAAACCCAGCAGCTGCCACCCAGGGGAAAGATGAGGCTGTCTGCTCTGTAGAGGCTGATACAGCATTGCTCTGAGTCACACTGGGCTTGACGGCAGTGGGTTCTTATTTATTTATTGTGGGGGTGGGGGTGGGGGCGAGGGCTCCGTCAGTGTCTCATATATTTCTTACTATTAACGGTCTATTTCCATCTTTGCTCGCTGTCCTCGAGGAGGTGGAAATGGAGTCTGCTTCTATTATTATTATTATTTTTGATAATGAAAACACTGCCCATTCGGGCTTTTTTCCTAGAGCGCTATTTCTGCCGTGAGCAATCTTCTCCATGGGTTGAGAGCCCTTGTCGCTGACTAAATAAAGCACGAAGACTGCTTTCAACACGAGGGACGGACACGCGCGTTTATACATGTCAGGTTCCAAGAAGCTCGGAATCTCTCCAAGGAGCGCATCGGATGGGCCAGAAATGCAGCTATTTTCAGTCCTCGTAGATCCACTGTGCTTCCGAGAGCATGAGAACATTTGCTGACTGGATTCTTCAGAAACAGCCTCAAATGCCACAGAGCAATGCTCTTCTCCAGCCCTGGCCAGCACGATGCTGGCCCCTGAGCACCAGCCCCGCCTGGGCCATGGCTAGGTGCTGGGCCGGCGCCCGGGAAGGTCAGTGGTGGGAGCTCACCAGCCAAGTAGGAGAGAGAGACGGGGCTTCCACCACGATTCCTGTCTTGGAAACCCTGCAGGGCCTGCGGGAGGGCGTCGGAACCTTGATGGTGCTCATGAGTGGCGACTATCCTCTCCGAATTCATGCCTGTAACCCGGGCTAGATGCTTACTAAGAATGCTGGCGGGTGCTGTGGAGCGCACCCTGTGACAGGGTGAACTGCCTGGCCCCCTTGTGGGCTTCCTTGGCTGTAATCTGTATGGATTACAGATCACCACATCGCTCTCCCCCGGGCTGCCCCCCACCCACCCACCCACCCAAACAAGCCAATCCCAAGTGGGTACTGACTCACTGGGACCCTATGGGGCAGAGTGGAGCTGCTCCCCCTTGTGGGCTTCTGAGGCTGTGACCCTTCACCAGGGCAGGGAGGGCTGATGGATTCGAACTGCTGACTCTGGTGGTTAAGACCACAAGGTTAAGTTGCTTGAGGTTCAGCCGCCAGGGCTCCTTAGAGCCTTTGTTGCTAGGTGCCTATGGAAGTAACTTTCAGAATCCATAATGTGGCTTGAGCTCACGCTGCTGCCACTAGGTACTAAGGACCCAGTCAGGTCCAACTTCACGTACGCTGGAACCAAACACCGCCGGTCCTGGCTGTCTTCGCCGTTGTTTGGACATAGGAGGCCATTGTTCCAGGGTCTTCCTCTTCCTCACTGCCCTTCTTTTTGTACCAAGCGTGATGTCCGGCTCAGGGACCGGTCTCTCCTGACAACATGTCTAAAAGGCTTCTGGGTGGGTTCACACCTCCGACCTTCCAGTGAGAAGCTGAGCACTTACCCACTGGGTAACCAACACTCCTCCAGACACCCAGGGATATCTGATTGCAGGGCCAGTCCTGATAATGAAGAGCTGATGGACCGACAACGCTCCCCTGCCCTTTAATCTGATGTAAATCCACCCTCCCTTTGACACTAACGAGGAGCCCTGGTGGTGGTGTAGTTATACACGGGGCTGTTCACTGCAAGGTGGGCAGTTCAAACCCCCCAGCTACTCCTTGGGAGAAAGAGGAGGCTGTCTGCTCCCATAGAGAGTGACCGTTTCAGAACCCCACAGGGGCAGTTCTACCCAGTCCTCTAGGGTGGCTGTGGACTTGCTGAGGGAGGGTGGGGTTCACTGAAGGGTGAGCCAACTCCTGCCTACAGCCAAGGCCCCATCACCATCCCCCATGCTGCTGCAGGGGTAGCTCCGGGCATGAAGAAGGTGGTGAAGTGTCTGGCACTAAGGTCATAGGCAATTCCGACCAAGGGGGCTTCAAACGTGGTGGGAGGGTAGAACTCCAAGCCAACAGTACTCGGTGAAGTCCCCTCGTATTTCTAAGCAGCGTTGGTCATTTTTAAAGGCCATCCATTTCCCCCCCCAATCGAGAAACAAAGGGAAGGGAAAGGATGGAGCATCGTGTCACTGCTCGAACCCACACTGGTTCTGACCCAGTGCCAGGTGCGGTCGAGGGGCTGCTGCCAACGAGGCGATGCCACCCCACAGCCTGCGCCGGTGCAGCATCAGCCCTGTAAACCGGCCTCTTTGAAGGCTGAGCCCCAGGGCCGGGCAACACAGCTCTTACGGCGAGCCGGGAAAGAAGAGGAAGGAAAAAAGTAGAATCCCCAAATCAGAGGCGGCAGCACCCCCTCCCCGGCCCGCCCCATGTCTCACCTGGTGGAAGAGGGCGCTGTGTGTCACAGGGACCCCCAGTCCACTGAAGCACATGCCCAGAACCATGTCGTCTGGAGCGTCGCTGCTGTAGCACCGGCACTTGCTGGCCAGGAGCCTCCTGATGGCCTCTCTGCTGAAGACCATGCTGGAGGGAGAGCAGAGGGGCAGACGCAGGGCTCCCTCAGGACACAAGACCTGATAGGAGCAGTGCTTTGCTACACTGGGCAGTTTGTTCTTCCTGGTGTCCTGTGTCCTTGCATCAGGGGTGACTCCGACCCACCCTGCAGGACAGAACTGCCCCACAGGGCTTCCAAGACGGCCATCTGCACTGAAGCAGCCCGCCTCATCTGGACCGACCACGTTTCAGGCAGCGGCCGGGCACTTAGCGCCGCACCGCCATCACCACCCTGCTCCCAGTCTTGCCGACTCCCAGTCGCACAGACCCAACCGTGCAGAGCAGGCTGCTCTCTTGGGTTTCTGAGGCTATGAGCCATCAAGGAAGCTGTGGCAATCGTTTCTTCTACAAGAATTCATACCAAGCTGGTACCAGGAAGTTGGAGACTGAAAAAAAAAAAATCCCCAAAGTCCAACTCTTACAAGGTGACAGTCTGCTCGATCTACCGCCCCCGCCCCCCAACCACCACCTTTGAGCCTGTTCCCTCACGTCTGCCGCAGCGGCCCATAGTACTCACAAAAGGTCAAGGAGATGTCCCATGTGGAGGTGGTTGCCTTTCAGTCCAAAGGTCACGTAGGCCAGAGGATACCCCCCCACTCCTGGGTCTTGCTGGTGATGAGATACCACCCCCTGCTTCTCCGTGGGCTTGTTTTTTTAACACAGCATGACAGTACCACAGGGAATCCCGGGCACAATTATGCATAGCCACATCCCATCAGTATCTTTCCCCACCTTCTTACCAGGTGCATGCAAGGAGAGGTCATTTGGTGGGAGTGGCATGGTGCAATCAAACTTCACCCAAATGTAGGAATCTATTCTCCACCCTGGACTGTGTCTCACTGATGCACGTAGGACCTGGGCCTCGGGCAGGATGCGTCCAGCAGGCCTTGGCCTCCTCCTCACCTTACTCAGCCAGGCTTCTCCGCAGGCCTCTCCAGAGCAGCGCTGCTCCCCTCAGCTGTAGCAAATCATTGCTTACATTCATTGTAGGTAACACTGCTGAAGATCACCATTAAACGAAGGGCTCAATCTCACTCCACTCCTGATCACTAGCAGATCATGCCCTCCACAACGGGGCCCCAGCCACAGCACAGGGAATCGGGAATTATTATCTATCGCATCAGGGATAGTGGCTGGAAGAGCCATGTTAACAGACAATAACTCGTACTGCCACATCTTTCTCTCATGGAGTGGCTGGTGGCTTTAAACCACTGGCATTTCAGGTAGAGGCTGAATGCTTCACCACCGCACCACCAGGGCTACGTGTGTGTACGTGTGTATATTTATATATCCACATACATACAGGTGCGTATGTTCACACACACATATATTCACTACCATCAAATTGATTCCAAGCCCTATCAACCCTGTATAAGTTTTCTGAGGCTGTAAATCTTTATGGGAGCAGACAGCCTCTCCTCTCTCCCCAGAGTGACTTGTGGGTTCAAACCCCTAGACTTACAGTTAGCAGACATACCGACCTACCTACCTGCCTATATACATACATACATACATACATACATACATACATGATGCAGCTTCAAAACATTGGTGGAAAAATGGAACTGACAGATAAAAGAATTCTTCCAAGAAAGTTTTGAAGCCCACATACATATACACATACACACATATACACAGTCTGTGTTTTTAAAATTTTCTGCTTGTGCATATGTACATAAGACAAGATAACATTTCACCAAGCACCACCCACCCTCGCTACACAGGAAGCATGGTGATACTTTCTCTTCTCTTCCGGCCTCTCTCTGATGGTGATTTTCAAAATGTTGGCCTTGATCCTGGATCACTGGGTGAGAAGCAAGGTGGTTCCAGCACTGGCGCACCCAAAACCGCAGCGGAAACACTTAAGACACTACTTGACCACTGTGGGCCTGAAGCTGTGACCAGAGGCTGGCCTGAGAAGCTCTCATGCCCTGAAGCATCTTCCCACCTCTTTGTAAAAGAGCAGGGGCCACTGTGCTGGTGCGGTGTCACGTGACTATTCTATGTTCCTGAATCATTCATTCACTTACTCTCTGCACCTCATAAAGCAGCCGCTCCGGACAAGGTGGGGCTATTATGAGAGACGAGACACAGGTGCCGCCTGTGTGCATGGCACGCTATGGGGAAGGCATCATAGCCCGATGTGAGGGGGCCAGGCTGGGCAGAAGGCCCCCCAGGGGATCAACGAGCTGTGCTTAAGCACCATGCCACCAGGGCTCCGTAGATAAACTAGAAATCATACTTATCTATGGAATTGCTGAAGAGGGAAAGGGGATACTGTGTAGATGTGCAGCAAAGGAAAACTGGGCTTGGAGGAAGCAGGTGGACTGGCAGGCCTTCTAGAGAGTCCATCCTTTAAACAGGGCCACAGTCACTCACGGGGGAGCTGTGGATTCGACTAAGCGGACCACACCGGCCCCACTGCTACAGCTCACGTGGACCTACCTTGTAGGACAGAGCACAACTGTTCCGTGACATTTTCAAGACTGTGAATCCTTATGGGAGCAGTCACCCTCGTCTTTCTCCCCTGGAGCGACTGGTGGGTCTGAACCGCCAACCTTCTGGTTAACAGCCCAGTGCCTAACCAGCAGTCCCAGGAAGGGTCCTTAATAGAGATGGCTTAAAACCAGGGGTCCGTTGCAGACAAATATGTGTCTTATTGAGTGGCCATCCCCTCACTTGGATAATGAAAATGGGAGCGTATACACTTGTGGGGGGCCAGAAACACTGCAGTAGTCTTCGAACTCTACTCTGTCTTGGACATTTCTGCCATGCAATTAAAAGCCCATACATGTGACGCAAACGAGCGCTCCAATCAAGAGCAACTATCAGCGGAAGCAGAGTCACGGGTGAACCAGATATTGTTAACCATAATAACAAGACACGGGCTTTAACAATTACAATAAAGACGTCAAAATGTGCTGGGAATGCTAACCCCTGAGCCTGTGTTCATAACTCCATTTGGGGGTGGGTGTTCTTTGTGACCGTAGGACGATGCTTGCAGTGCCAGTGTGTCGTCGTCAGCCCGTCTGTTTCTGTAACGTGGCGGAGATTAAAGAAGCCATGCAGGGAGCACAGATGGGGGGTGTTAGGCGTCACTCCACGTGAGGATCACTAAGGGAGCGAGGAACAAGGATGAGTCTCCAGAGCCAACACAGAGAGCGAGAGCCCTCCCCTAGAACCAGGGCCCTGACGTCCAGCCTCCTGAGAAAATTAAATGCTCTCATTAAGGCCGTTCGCCTGTGGTATGTGCGCTGCAGAAACACTGATGGTTACGAGCCCGACCCTTCACCGCGGGCGACCAAGCAGGAGAGCCACACGGAGAAATTCCCATATAAAATGTAAACTACTTAAAACCAAACAACATTCTACCGTCTGAAATGAAAACACAGAGGAGGTCTTCGTTGTGTGGAGGGCACTGAAGAAAGGACCAGGGTCCGTGAACTCGGCCAGACGGGCCCTGTGAGCACAGAGCGAAGCAGAGGGGGGAAAGGCTACAGACCACTGGTCAGTGGATGACGCGAGCGCAGATGTCGTGGACGGACAGACGGGGCAGAAAGAAAGCAGGCTTCCACACTGGTTGGCGCTTTCCATATGGATCGGAGACCGCATCGAGACATCAGGCAGACCGTCTTAACTCTTTAGGACATCATGCACAGTGTGGCACGGTCGGTCCCTAGCACAGAGAAGACACTCGGCAGATACCTGTTCACCCACTAACCCACTGCATGGATTTTCACGGCTCCTGTGGACAACAGAGAGCCCTGGTGGTGCCGCCATGACGTGCACGGCTGCTAACCAGAGGAGGGCGGTTCAAACCCACCCAGCAACTCCGCAGGAGAAACCAGGGAACCGCTCCCAGTAAGAGTCCAAACCACGGCGACTCCGAGTGACAGCGTGGAACTCCCCTGGTGGTCCAGTGGTTACACATTGGGCTGCAACCCACAAGGCCAGCAGTTCGAAACCACCAGGCGCTCTGAGGGAGAAACACGGGCCTTTCTACTCCTGTAAACAGCTGCCGTCTCGGAAAGCCACAGGGGCGGTTCTACCCTGTCCTTAGGGTCGCTGTGAGTCGGCGTGGACTCGGTGGCAGTGCGTTTATAGGGTTTCCAAGGCCGTAAACGCTGTGGAACCAGACTGACCCCCATCTTTCTCCCACTGAACTCTGCCGGTAACAGCCAAGCACTTATCCACTGCACTACCAGGAAAGGCTATTGTCTAGAACAGCCTGCAAGGCAGCTCTCCTCCGTCTCGTGTTTCCAACTCATTCTTGCCAACTCGAGTCAGCTGGTGGCAACCCTGGAGTAAAGCTGTGGGTGGGCAAGGACTTGATGGTACCGGATCACAAGGACAAGAGTGTGGGTAGCAAAGGAAGATCCCCTCGAACGGCCTACCAGGGCAGAGAACAATTCACTGCTCCATTGATTTACCCATAGAATCAAATGTTTGTCTTTCCCCGTAGGAGACCAGACAGATGTTTCATGTAAAAACATTGATCTTAACTGTTACTTAAACCTATAAATCCTACATGAGTACCACTGAGATTAGACATAAATTAGATTTAATTGCTTAAATCTAAGCTACTAGGCAAGTCTTGTCCCAAATGGGATTTACTAAAGACTGAATGATTTAAATGTCTAATGGGTCGCCCGTTATCTGAAACTAAAATCTATGTCCAATTTTGTTTTTCCTTTAGACAGACAATCGAAACTAACTAGCGGCTCTGATGAGCTAGATTGTGTCTCCCCGGGATTCTCACCCCCACGCCTGTGGTGAGGGATGCTGGTGGCACAGTGGGTGAAGTGCTGAGTTCTTCACTAACTGAAGGGATTCTGAGACGGTACACTGTGACAGGCCCAGACTGCCTCGTTCTTCTCCCGCGGAGCAGAGTGTGGGTTCCGACCATGGAGCCTGCAGTGAGCAGCCCAGAGCTTGGCTGCCCTGGGCTTCTTTAAGAACTGAGGACTTTCTCCCCAGAGAGGAGAGAGTGTTCTTGCCCCTAGAGGCAGCGCCCTGAATTCTGCCTTCCAGCCTCTCACAGTCCTTCCAGCCTCTCACACTGTGAGAGCCCCCACTGGCGGTATTTTTGTTATTGGTGCACAAGAGGTTGGAGACAACTGCCGAGACACCAGTGTGAGTATAGCGACATTTCCACAGTGACCCTGACGTGCATGTTAACCTGATAAAACCATCTTTACTGTGGATTCCTCTGACATCGAGCATATTTTAACATTTCCTAAATTATCAGCCAATCTTCTCACATTATGGGGCCCTACGGGGTTTGCAGAAGGCTCCGGATGACAGGGACGGCCCCAAAGCCACACGCAGGGTCCCCACGTGGATGAAAGCTCTGGGGAGTCCTGTCTGGCCATTGACCAGGGAGGTGCGAAGCCTTGCTGACAGACCGAGGGCACTGGCAACGGAGTTCCTGCAGGTGCAGGTGGGTTTAAATTTAGCAACTTCTCCTTGGTGCTCCCATTTTAAATGGGAAGTGTTGGCCCGTTTTAAATGTGCTCTAGTTTTTAATATCTTCTGCTTTCTTCTCGATTGAGGTTCTTCTCTGTTATTTTGTTACTGCTGTTAGACTGGGTTTTTTAATGTTTTTCTGTCTATGAAATCCAGGATACATAAATCCACAGAGAGAGTAACCAGATTAGTGGTTTCCTGCAGGTATGGCAAGGGAGGCTGTGGGGTGGGGGTGTTGGGAATGGGGAGCTAATACCAGTGAGTGCAAGAAAGAAGAAATGTTCACAAATCGATCGTGGCAGTGATTGCCAACTCTCATATGTGTAAATCACTGAACTGCATGATAGGCAAATTATGTCAATGAAACAAAAAAATTTTTTAAAGAAATTTCATTTAAAAACTAGAACAAGGAGCCCTCGCAGTGCACAGTTAAGTGCTTGCTGCTAACGGAGACGTTGGCTGTTCAAAACAAAGTCTAACCCCAACCCCACCCGCTGCCATGAGTCAATTCTAACTCTCAGAGACTCTAGGGCACAGGAGAACTTTCCCACTGGGCTTCAGGAGCGATCAGTCTTTACGGGAGCGTGCAGCCTCATCTTTCTCCCTTGGAGCCCGTGGCTGGGCTCAAACTGCTGACCTGGGGCAGCTCCACTCTGTCACGTGGGTGAGCCAGAGTCTACTGTGCAACATCGTTAACAGATCACATTCCTATCAGATCCCAACGTCGCAGACCCACCCCAGCTCTGTGCTCCGAATATGCGCCACGCATGTGCAGTGTCTCCACCAGGCCAGCCCCATAGTTACCCTCCTCCGCCGGTGATGTAGCTGTAGCCGCCAGTGCCCAGTCCGTAGCCGTAACGCTCTCCCAGGAACACGGGCTCTCGGGCGTCATAGCAGCTGAGCAGGTGCTGCAGCCTGGGGATGCTGCAAGGCCAGAGGAGGGCAGAGTCAGTTCAGAGGGGCTCCAGGATCAAAGGGCTGCGCTTCCTACTTCCCCACACAGAGCCCCGGGTGTGCTCATAACCAAAGGTCCTCGGTTCAAAGCCGCTAACGGCTCCGAGGGAACAAGATGAGGCTGTCTGCTGGCTGCGGTACAGATTGACAGCCTCGGAAACCGTAGGCAGCAGCTGTGTGCAAGATGAGGCTGTCTGCTTCCGTGGGGATTCACAGCCTCCCAGACCCACGGGGGTCGTGTCTGCCCTACAGGGCAGCTGTGAGTCCCAATCAGGCAGTAGGCTGGAAGCATGTACAAAGCCATTATTGTAGGAAATGGTGCAAGAAATGTACAAAGAACTCCTGGGTGCCTGTGGCCCAGATTCACCCACCTCTGGCGTTTGGCCGCCTTAGTTTCTTTTCTACTCTCACTCCCCTGTGGGAGCTCTCGTTCTCTCTCTCTCTCTCTCTCTCTCTCTTTCTCTCTCTCT